ATATATTTTATTTTTTGCTTGTCTGTCAGTTTGTCTATGTATCTATCTAATTCTGTTCATATCTATCTATCTATCTAATTTGTCTGTTTATCTGTCTTTTTGTCTGTTTATATATTTGTTTATATATATATATATATATAAATATATATATATATATATATATATATATATGTTTGTTTGTCTGTATATCTATCGGTTTATTTTTCTCTCTTTTTATCAATCTATCTATCTAATTCTGTTCATATCTATCTATCTTTTTTATGGTACTCTTAATTGCAACTCAGCAATTTAACTTCAATTACTCAAAAGTAAGAAAATAATGTTCATTTTTGTCAAAGTGTTATATTCCCACAAATTCATTAAATAGATTTCCGCCTGTTTTTTTTTACCTGCAATCTGTCAATGATTGTTACATATCCCGAATTTCCTTAAGAATGTTTCCACCTGTTTTTCTTTACTTGCAATCTGTTAATAAGTTTTTTTTTTTCTGATTGTAAATATACATGTCATTTAAGTTCTCCTTTTCTTTACAACGCCCTGGTTTTCTGCAAGTACTGTTTATAATTTTCTCAACATTCGTTGGTATAACCACATTTCTGTTACTCCTCATCTTCATCTGTTCCATAAAAATTCAACACCCTTTAAGTTGTCTCTAAAGAACATTTTTTTCTATTTCTTAATGCCTTGCTTAGTTTATGGAAGGAATCTTTGGCGTCTTCAATTTTCTGTGTCAAATCTCTGTGTACTAGTCAACATCAGTGGTTATCTACGCAACCCAAACATGTTGTTTCTTTTTTGTACCTGCTTATATTTGATATCTCGAATGCAACACAGGTCATATTTCGTTTGTCTTTTTAGTTAATAACCATGTATTCTGTCGTCTTACAGTTAAAAATTAATACTTTCGTCTCGATTTTCTTTAGAACGATTTTTCTTTATCTCAGAGAATTTTTGTTTTTCCTTCTGAGTCTGTAATAAAGATTATAATTGTAAAACCAAAATTGGATTGATTCCTTTGCAGTAATAGTAAAGCGCTGTGTTTTGACGAAGCTTAATTTAATACTGCTGAAAATAGCTTATAGCAGTAAAGATTACAAGGACTTCTTCTCTAATAATTATACTAATGTGTTTGATAAAGAACGTCACAAAGTACTATTGGAAATGCTAGCTAACCTTGACATATTTGAGAAAGGGCATTAGAAAAACCCAGAACCAATACTGGCAGCAAACCGCCTCCATATAGTTAGAAAATTCAGTAAATATACAAAAATAGAAAGTTGTTTAAGACAAGGATGTGTTTTCTCACCAGACTTATTCAATCTGCACGCCAAAACGATTCTGAGAAAATTAGAACTCCTAATAGAATTTTATTATTGGCGGCCACAATCTTCACGACATAACATATACAGATAACAAACTGTTGGTAGCAGACACAGGAAAGAAACTAAAAAGAAACTCCTACAGAAGTTAGTCAAGAAAAACGGGAAGAAATAACTAAACATCAATTGCAAGAAGAGTTAATTCATGGCTGTTATCTAACGTAAAAATTACAGATTGGAGATACCAAAAATCATACAAATACAATAACATAAATACCCGGGAAGTGTTTTAATGGAGGACGGAATGTGCGAAACTGAACTCTGAAGCACATTGTGATAGCGAAAGATGCCACCGAAAAGCTAAGTAAAGTATTAAGGAACATGAAAATTTCGTTAGAAACAAAGATTATTGAAATTGGATTGATTCCTTTACAGTAGTAGCAAAGCGCTGTGTTTTGACTAAGTTTAGTTTGGTACTGCTGAAACCCATAAGTATATAATAGTAAGGATTACAAGGACTTCTTCTCTAATAATTATACTAATGTGTTTGATAAAGAACGTCACAAAATACTATTGGAAATGCTAGCTAACCTTGACATATTTGAGAAAGGGCATTAGAATAACCCAAAACCAATACTAGCAGCAAACCACCTGCATACAGTTAGAAAATTCAGTAAATATACAAAAATAGAAAGGTGTTTAAGACAAGGATGTGTCTTCTCACCAGACTTATTCAATCTGCACGCCAAGACGATTCGGAGAGAATTAGAATTCAGACTAGAATTTATTATTGGCGGTCACAATCTTCGCGACATAACATATACAGGTAACAAACTATTGAGAGTAGAAAAGAACCCCTACAGAAGGTAGAGAAGAAAAGATGTGTTTAATGGTAATTGGTGTTTGGAGTGATCATTAGTGATGGCAACGCTATGCTTCCATTCATCTTCTCACACACTCAATACAGACCCCACATCATGGGCATTGAGGAGGTAGTTCTTGTAACACCAAGGATGAACTGAAGGCAAGAATTATGACAAAATTCACGAAATTAAACAAGGAAACCGCCCCGAAGTGTTTCAGGAGACTCCGAAGTCGCCTACAGGCCGTGGTTAAAGCCAATGACGATTTAATTGATTAATTTTGCTCTTTAGTATTCAAGAGATTTTTGAGTAATTTTGGTAAATGTAAGTATGGGTAAAAATTTCAGGTAGAGTACATCTGTAAAAGGACAATATAAAAATGACAAAAAGAAAAACTTAAACCATCGAGTTTCGTCCTCTGAGGGACTAATCCTCTGTGGATTAATATAGCAAGTGACTTGATAAAATTCCGCATATATATATATATATATATATATATATATATATATATATATATGAAGAAATATAGTTTTAAGGTGTGCTATATTTATGGGATAAAGTGGTCAATATCAGAGATAGAGCGTATGTAAATATTTATATAAAAGTGAACATTTAAGTCAATACTTAGAGGCGAGAGGCTGTTTCATGCTGGACGTTATTACAGACACTACAGTTCAAAAGCCATAATCCACCCCTGTTAACATATATATATATATATATATATATATATATATATATATATATATATATATATATATATATAAACACAGACAAAACTAGAAAAGATATAAAAACTAATCTAAACGAAGTAGATTTTCTAGATGTTACGTTCAACCTAAGAAAAGGCACATATAAACCATACAGAAAACCCAATGATAAACCACTTTATATACACACGTCTTCCAACCACCCGAATCAAAGAGACACCAAAATCGATTAACCGCAGGCTTTCCGACAATTCCTCCAATGAATCCATATTTAACAAAGCTAAGAAAGAACTACGAAACAGCTATAAAATATAGCGGATTCCCAGAAACACTCACATACTCACCACAAAACACAAAAAAGCCAACAGGAAAAGAAATATCATATGGTTCAACCCATCGTACAGCAAAAACTTAAAAACAAACGTAGGAAAAATATTCTTCAAACTCTTTCAAAAACACTTCCAGGAATCAAGCACCATACGCAAAATATTCAACAAAAACACAGTAAAAATCAGCTACAGTTGCACTGAGGAAACGATCATCAGCTTACAACAACCAAACAAAAACTTGCTAACTTTGCTTGGAGGAAAACATAGCTATCATTACTTCCGAGACGAAAATAGATTATTAAATAAAAGATCCAAGCTCATCTCAAAATGCAGACATGAAAACAAATTTTTACTACCTTACTTAAAAATTAAAAACTGAATAAAATAAAATAAATAAATAAATAAACAAAATGACAATAAAATAAAGAAAATAAATTAACCCAAACAAATTACCAAATAACACCTTAGAATAGACAAAAATAGAATAAATTAATAAAAAATAAAAAACAAAATCAATGAACCCAAATAAATAAAGTAAATGATAAACAAGTTAATAAAACATTATGATCAAAATATTAATTAGGCTATAAAAATCAAACCAAAAATCGGACGAAAAAATAGCTATAACTGTTATATAAGAATAAAAGAAAAATAAATACTACGTAATTTAAAAATCGAAAATTGTAAATAAAACTAGACAGTATGATAAATAAATAATAATAAACAAGTAAAATAACTTAATCTTAAATCATCCAAATAAATAATTAAACTAACAAACCGATCCCGATAAATTAACCGTTAGAAAAATCAAATAAAGATAATCAATCCAAATAAATACATGCAGTAATAAATAAAATAGAAAATGCTCCCGCCAAAATAATAGTTAGAATAGATTACAAAATTCAACCCCAAAATTGAATAAATTGCTTTAATTCTCTTCCCAAACCAAAACAAAATAATAATAATTAAATAAGCGATATAAAGTAATTTTTACAACGTTATACAAACACCGACTAATAAAAAAAATATATATATGAGATAAGTAAAAATAAAAATAGAAATAAAAATTAAAAATAAATAAAACAAGCAAAATAATTTATTATTGTATTGCTGTGTTTCATCTACAATTTACAACATATGCAACGAATTTATTATAATTTTCATTTTAATGAATAATTTTATCTTCCGTTCAAGTTTTGATTTAATGTATATAGTAATGGAGTTGCCTGATATGTTATTTTTCTACGGTAAGACAATATTTTACATAATTTGTAACACGATATGTATTTTGGCATTTGGGTGTATAAAAACACAAAAATAAAAGGTAAAGGCAAAGAGAATCCATCTGCATCTTTGCAGACATGGCAATTCCTTGGAATCTATGGAGGGCCATAATCCTTTACATCTTGAAAAAACTCATTAAGATAATCAAAGGGAAGGGCACATGTTGAATAAACGCTGCTAAAATATTTTGAGGGTTATTGTAGAGAAGTAGCGATAAATTTCGAGGTAGGCAATATTATTCTGCCGTATTTAAAGAATCGTTTCCAAAGAAATAAATTAATGAGTCGAGAAGGAGAAGAAGACATGATGAATAACCTGAAATACAGGCGTGAATGATATATATATATATATATATATATATATATATATATATATATAAACAAGTCATTATCTGAAAGGTTGTGAATCAAATCCGGATGGGATAGAAAAGAAAACCATAAGTGAAAAGGTGAGTGGGAAAGAAAGTTTAAAAAGCAACCTTGGTTACAGACGGTTTCATTATAAGAATGATGTATTTGTTGGCTTTAGATTGATGGAGAAATCGGCGTGGAAGATAAAAAAGAAGTATATATAAATATGGGTAAAGAAGAAGTCTGCTAAAAACAAGGCGAGAAAAAGGGCAAGAAAAGAATTGAGGAGAGCATAAAAGAAGGATTTGAAAAAGCGGTGATATAGACAAGAGCGTAAAAAGAAATGAAGGAAGCAAACACACAAAGAAATTAGAGGAAGGAATGGAGAAGGATAAAAAAGAAAATAAATAGTATAAAAGTTTGAAAGAAATAAGAATGAAATAAAGTATGGTAGACAAAAAAATAAAGAAGAAAATATTGACGTTCTATAGAAGGTGAGTAAAGAAGGAACCTGAAAAACAGTATCAGAAAAACAATAAAAGACGTTATTGAAAAATGATGAAAGAAAAACAAGAATAATTTAATGGTGACCACTTTAATGTAATGCTCAAAGACATCCAAAGAAGGACATTTCGAAATACGAGTGAATGAAAATATTGAAGTAAAGGAAGAAGAAAAAAAAACATAAATAAGAGAATAAATAGGAAAGAAAAAAGAAAGACGAAAGAAAACAAGGAAGAAAGAAGAAAACAAACAAAAAAGAAACAATGATGGGGGTGCGAATGAGAGAGAATGAAAAGAAAAAATGAGACTGAAAGAATGAGAAAAAAGAATGGAAGAAATCTCAATGGTAAAAAAGAAAATGCAAAAATACAGAGAAAGTGAAGAAAAGTGTAGTAGAAAGAAAAAATGAAAGAAAAAGAAAAGAAGCAAAAAGAAGTTGAAAAAGAAATCGATGGAGAAAAAGTAGATTAGAACGAAATAATAATAAGAAAAATAATGAAAGAACAAAAGGAAAGATGATAAGAAGGAGAGTAGTAAATGAAAATGAAAGAAAATAAAGAGAAAGAAAGGGAAGATATTTTTTTTTTAAATCAATATGAAAAGAGAGGAGTAAATAATAAAAAAAAAATCTAAAATAAGAAAAATGATGAAGAAAAAATCGCCGGAGAGAAAGAATGAACGAAAAAAATAACAAACAAAAACAAACAAATAAAAACAAAGAGAGTGATGGAGAAAAAGTTAGTAGAAAGAAACAAAGAAACAAAAAGAATATAAAACAAGAAAATAAATGCAAAGAAAGGAAGAAAAAAAAGAAATCCCATTTCACGTGAAAGAGGCGAAGGTATCATATTAGAAATAAGATACCATAAACGAAAGAGAGCAAAGTTTGAACTGAAGCCATAATGAAAGCAGAACGGCTTAGCAGAGATGAAATATTACGTAAAATAAACAAGCCAAGCGATGTGAAATAACTAAGCACCATTAAAAAGTCTGTAAAGAAATGGACGCAAATCAACATTAGAATGGATAATTATGGGCAAAAAAACGTTAAAGTAAGCAAAGAAAAAAAAAAAAACAAAAAAAAAACGGAAAAAAATACATAAAACTCAATATGAATGTTTTGTATGTGCCTGAGTGAGTAAAAATGCAGCATTGGGAACACCGAGAGCGTGAGGTTGATACGCCGTGTGTTACTTCTGGGGTGGGGACGGAAGGTGACCAAAGTGAAGAAAAGAAACGAGGTCAAAGGTCAGAGATGAGTTATGAGTTAAGTGCATGCCTCTTTGTGGTTGACCTGTTTATAATTGGCCTGCGATGTCCAATCTTTGCTCGATCGTCTGACGTTAACATAATTGCCAGTCACCTCCATAGTTTCAACTGGAGACACCAGTTACTTTACTGACGTTCGTAGTGTAGTCTATCCAAAAGACGAATCTCAGAGATGTCTAGTTTATTTTTTACACTAATGCTCACCCAATGCAAGGTTCAAGATTTACTCAGGGTAGAGTTTTACTGTGTGATGTTGCATTGAATACGTAGAGAATGAGGATGATTCAAACTTTATTAACTGGAATAGTGGGTCCCACTTGTAAAGGTCAAGGCTGATGGGACTAAGGAATTCAGCTCGTCAGAACAAATGCCATGTAAGTAACGATAGAGCAGCAGCGAGAGGCTTGAAACGTTTCGTCTGTGGGAAACGGGGTTCTACTAAATTCTTTTCCTGGAAACAACTTCAATTATCCGGAAACCTTTATTTAAATAAGACCAGTTTATCATCTAGGAAATTTCTAAGTTCGGGAGGATAGTACCATGAAGCTACTTCAAAGAGGAACAGTAACAGAACAAGATGGCACAGATGTATTTGAATAAATCTATGTTTAAATTACTAGTTGGTTTTGCGAGTAACAGGGATCAGCTCAAAATGGGCTACTTTCGAGTCTAGCAGAGATTGATGGTTTTAATAATAATAATAATAATAATAATAAAACGTAGTTTTATTCTTTCATTTTGGTCGGGAGACACCAACTTCGTAGGCATCCGTTTATCTCTCGAGATAATGGGAGTGCCATATCTGGTCAAAATTCAGTACTTTGGTAGGGAAAATGGAGTGACCCCTCCAGGGTTCAAGCCTGGGCGATGGTCTATGGAGGTATTGTGTTGCCCAAACTACATGTAGCCGACTTCGACTGTACCGACAAGATACAAAGGAATACAGAGTATATTATAGCCGGCTTGGCTCAGGAGTTTCAGGAAAGTTGTCAATGTTGACAGTCAATCGCCATCAGAGCTTTCTGTCTGGATTTACTTTCATTGCGTTTTCCGTGTTGGGATATAACCGCAACGCAGCGGAGGTTTTAAATTAGTGTTTTTCTTCCATAGATGGATTTCCTGGGATGTTGAGCTCCATCTGCCAAGGCAGCTGGTCAGGAGGCGTCAGTTTGTCGCCTTCGTCCATTCTCGGGCTTGAGAATCATGCCACGGTAGCATTTTATAGACAGTGAGAGCCTGGCCCAACTACACTCCCTCCTCTATGACAACCGTTGGAACATACGTAATGTACATATTTAAACATTATATAAATTATATAAATTATGTGTTTTATAAAACACGCTAACATAGTAAACTGATATCAAACACGTGGATGTGTCTTTAATTCTCACCTAAAAATATCTACTTAACTACTTAGCCAAAGCGAAACGCGTTGTGAGTAAAAAAGGTTTTCGATTTGTTTTCCCCACGTTTAGTTGGATTCCATATAACACGCATATACAAATGTGCATATAAATATGTAAATATTAACTTGGAAAGGCATACTGAATTTTTCTTCCAACTCAACAACTTGGTTAAAAATGGATGATATTTAAGTGAAAAATTCTTTTGAATGGACTCATTGTTTTCAAACTTTCTGACTAACCTAATATCTCTATCAGGATAATTATTCTTCAGTGATCCTTTTACAGAATGGTAAGATAAGGTGCCATTGCAACAGAATGGAAGACGAATTTTTTATTAGAGTATTTCTACAAATGTTGCTAATCGAATGTTAAGTCGGCTGCTTATTTTGCCGGGAAACTGAAATAGTGAAAAGACCATTTTATTCAATTTTCTTTAGAATAAGAGAAAGTATTCCATAATTCATCTCATGATTTTTCTTTTGGAGGAATTTCCGGGGAACATGGGAAATAGTTCTCTGAGTTTTGTAACAATTTGTTTTCAGTAAGACTATTGCTGATTTGCATGGAAATTGCATTTCTTTTATTGTCGAATAGAAGAGAGAGATTAAGAATATGAATAAGAAAAGAGCAAGTGAACTGATTACAACAGAAGCTGAATAAAATGAAAGAATAAATAAATATTTAAAAAGGAAAAAAAAAATACATTCATCACTTGAAATAATGAACGATACCAGAATTAAGTTCCAAAATAATAAAAAGTGAGAAGAAAAAAATATTGAATGAGAGGAAAAAGAAAAAAAAAAAAGAAAGATGAAGTTGATATTGAACGAGACTAAGAAGGAAGTTGACGATGATGATGATGATATTGGACGGAAGTGAAAAGAAGAAAGAAAAATGATGATTATGATGATGACAATAATGAACGATTGGAAAAGAAAGAAAAAATGATGATGATATTGAACTAGAGGAGAAAATAAAGAAGGAAATTTGATGATGATCATGATTATCATGATGAACGAAATGTAAAAGAAAGAAAATAGTATGAAAAATTATCACAAAGAAGAAGCGGTACAATAAGAAAAAGAAATAATACAATGAAAATTATGTGGACAAAAATTGTGAAAGGAAAAACAGGAGAAATGAGTTCATAAAAAGAGAAAGAAAAGTAGATTAAAAACAATAATTGTTTCAAAATACAACAAAGCATATAATCAAAGAAGCTGCAGGAAATAAAGAGGAGGATGAAGAAGTGGAAGAAGACAGAGAAGAAGATAAAGAGGAAAAAGTAGATGAAGAAGAACACAAAGAGGAAGATAAAGAAAATGAAGAAGATGAAGAATGAGAAGAAGAAAATAAAAAAAAGATGAAGATGAAAAAGATGAAGAAGAAGATGAAAATGGAGACGAAGATGAAGAAGAAGAGGATGAAGATGAAGATGAAGGAGAAGACGAATAAGATGATTATGATAAAGAAGAAAATGAAGAAGAAGATGAAGAAAAAGAAGATGAAGAAGATGAAGATGAAAACAAGAAGAAAATGTAGAAGATAAAGAAGTAAAAGATAAAAGACGAAGAAAAAAGATGAAGAAGAAGAAGATGAAGGTGTAAAAGATGAAGAAGAAAATGAAGAAGACGATGAAGATGAATGAGAAGATGAATAAGATGATGATGATGAAGATGAATGAGAAGATGAATACGATGATGATGATGAAGATGAAGGAGAAGATGAATACGATGATGATGATGAAGATGAAGGAGAAGATGAATACGATGATGATGATGAAGATGAAGGAGAAGATGAATAAGATGATGATGATGAAGATGAAGGAGAAGATGAATACGATGATGATGATGAAGATGAAGGAGAAGATGAATAAGATGATGATGATGAAGATGAAGGAGAAGATGAATAAGATGATGATGATGAAGATGAAGGAGAAGATGAATACGATGTTGATGATGAAGATGAAGGAGAAGATGAATACGATGATGATGATGAAGATGAAGGAGAAGATGAAGATGATGATGATGAAGATGAAGGAGAAGATGAATAAGATGATGATGATGAAGATGAAGGAGAAGATGAATACGATGTTGATGATGAAGATGATGGAGAAGATGAATAAGATGATGATGATGAAGATGAAGGAGAAGATGAATAAGATGATGATGATGAAGAAGAAGAAGAAGAAGGAGGAGGAGGAGGAGGAGGAGGAGAGGAAGGAAAGGGAGAATAAGAGGAAGAAGTTAAAAAAGAAGAAAAGGGGACACGGAAATAATTATTAAGAGAAAAACTAAATTTAGAATAATCAACTATCAACAGATATCAGCCAGTCAATAGACACCTGATGATGACCAGAGTCTAATTGACAGAAATGTTGTGTCTATAATAACATCTATATAACTTAAGATGAGACTAACATTCATCTTTGTTTTACTCGCGACATTTCGGCCGTTCTATCCAGGGCATTCATCAGATGTCTGTCATCCATAAATTGCGCTGAGTACACATATTAGGATTAAGATTTCAAAATTTCGCGAATGGATTGTCCAAGATGTTCCTGCAGTTTATTAATTGATTGACTGAGTTTGTGCAGGTTATTTAAAGCCAGAAAATAGTTTTAAACCTTTTATTGATTTAGGGATACCTGTCTTATTAGTTAATACATAGCTGGGGGGAAGGAGTTGGATTCATACCTTAAGGGATATTACAAACCCAAATGGAATTGGAACTCGGGTCTCCGATTCCGAACTGTTATTCGTTACACTACCCGCACATCCAAACACTTAGTATTCACAAATGATTACTCATCTACTTGCTTAACTCCAGTGTTTCGGTGCGATATGGCCGTAGGTCTTGTGCAGATTAAAGCATGGCTTCAAATATATGAGTTTCCCTAGCAGTTATGAGTTCAGCCCTTGTATCTGGCAGTGTTGAAAAAATACATACTCTGTCTTAGAGACTGATGAGCATTAACTGATACGAAATATCTACTAATCGAATGAACATCGACGGTGAATTGAATAAAGGGTGAAGGTCAAAATTCCAAAAGAGATTATTGCGTATGACTATAGATATCTGAGGAAGGCAGTAGATTCCAACGCATATCACAATACGCTATATAACCGCTCTTTGAGTCAAGTCACTTTTGGATCAATCAACTTGTTTGTAGTTTAATTCAAGTTCACCCAAGACCTCAAGTACGACTCAAATATGCGACAAAGTCAAAGAAAATGACTTGACCGAAATAGTTGTGAGTTCAATGCCTGGCCATAGCAGAGTGAACAAAAACTTGGAGAGTTATTAAACGTAATTAACTGAAACTGAGATATCCAAACACAGGGCACATGGAATTAGAACAATCTAATTCTGTGGACTAAATAAAGAGACCGGTTCGAAATTCCAAGAAATATCACTTGAAGAAGATCGGATTGTACAACGGTCGAAACGTCATGAATATCAGAGTAAAAATGACGGCAACAGTTCGAACAATATAAGCAGTGTAAATAGTTACAATACCTCGTACCAGAAATATAGATATACCGGGAAGAAGACCGGAGTGTACAACGGCCGAAACGCCGTGAATATGGCAATAAAGATGAGGACAAGAGTCCAAACAATGCAAATAGTGTAAATAGTTACAATACCTCGTCTCACAAATATAGATATGTCCTGAAGAAGGCCGGATCGTACATCGGCCGAAACGTGAATATGGCAATAAAGATTCGAACAACGGCAACGGTTCGAACAATATAAACAGTGAAAATAGTTACAACACGTCAACCCAGAAATATAGATATATCGTGAAGAAGGCCGGAGTGTACAACAGCCGAAACGTCGTGAATATGGCAATAAAGATGGGGACAAGAGTCCAAAGAATGTAAATAGTTAAAATACCTCGTCTCAGAGATAGAGACAGATGTTGAAGTCTATGCATTTCCAATTTTCCTTAAATCTTCCTTGCTAATCAAATATGGTATTGCGAGAATTCTTCAGTATAACCATATCTATGTTTCTTATTTGCGAGTAAGTTGTCCAGAATTCATTGTGATGTATGAGATTAGATATCACATATTTAATTAATATTTTCTTAGTTTCTAACGTACATTTTCATTGTAATAATACCTTGCTTAGTTTCTTCCAACATCTATTCTAATGTGTCTCCAATTTCTGTGTCAAATATTCCATCTTTTTCTACTTCGACAAATATGGCCGCTAGCATCTCACTTGGAACATCAATTGAAACACGTTCAACTCACACCTCAAGTGGCGCCCATATATATGGTATTATTCCCAAGAAATTGCTGGAAAAAACATCCGTCTGCAGCCTATTTCCAACGCTTCAAGTCTGTAGCTATTCCATCGCTATTTCCATGGCAAATGATCAAACAAGCTCCATGCTTTAGTTCGATCAGTGCAGACATTTACCGATAATATCCACTATGCTGTCTCTGGAGTCATAATAAAAATCAATTCTTCTGCATTAAATTAACGATGAGGTGCTACTCAGATTTTTTTAATGAACAGCTGCTTTGAGGAAAAGTTTTCCGTGTGGATAGTTCCCCGAACGCTACAATATTAACCTTTTCAAATCAAGAGTCAATTCACATAATCGTTAATTGCTACTGTTTTCAAATCACTTTACCATAATCAAGACGATGAAGCCATTAAGACGAATGGACGTTACTGAGAATGAAAGAAAATGAGGAGAAAGGGCATATAAAAAAAGAGGATTCAGAAAGACAGAATTAACAACGAAATGCCACTCATTTTCATTTTTTCATGAACTGATGTATATCCTGCATGTCATTCAGCAACTATCTTGAGCCTTGTATTGAATGAACACCATTAAAAAAAATGTCTCTTTTTCATTTGTGATAAAAATGTTCAGGTTTCCTTGCCATATATAGAGTTAAATATGGCCACTAGTATCTCACTTCGAACATCAATTGATATTTTCTTAGTTTCTAACGTACATTTTCATTGTAATACAGTGTAACCCGGATATAAGAGAGTTGTCGGGACCGGAGAAGAAGTCTCTTATATCAGGGTTTCTCTTATATCCGGGTTTGGTCTATTTTATTTAGGTAAGTATGGCTCTAATTTGGGACCAGAGAAAATATCTCTTATATCCGGGTTTCTCTTATATCCGGGTTACACTGTAATACCTTGCTTAGTTTCTTCCAACATCTATTCTAATGTGTCCCAATTTTTTCATGAACAGATGTATATCTTGCATGTCATTCAGCAACTATCTTGAGCCTTGTATAGACCAGGAATCTTTTATTATTTCTGACGAAATTTTCCTATATAATAATACTTTGCTGAGTTTCCGGAAGGAATATTTTGCTATTCCGATGGACTTGTGGGTCATATTTTCTGTCTTGTTACTATACTAACTTATGGCCGTTAACAGACTGGAAATAAACACGCGATATGATACGAACTCGTATCGTTCGTCAGCTGGGGAAAGCAACTAACATTTATCGTGGTTAACTGCTTCATCGACCGATAATAATGAAGAATTGCTAGTCTTTTGTCAGATTTCCACGAAAATGGCAACACTGTCTCTCTTTATCAACAGTTTTATCAAGGTGAAGTTAAAAGTTGTCAATGACGCAGTCGAGAGATGGTAAGAGACGAGAATACGAAAAGAGCATCACTGATGCCGCTTTAAAAACGTCGACTGGAAGGAATGGCGGGATTAAAAGTCTTAAAAATAATATAAAATGCTTGATTTGTAGAAGCGACGTGAGAAGTGTCAAACATAATATTGTTGGACATCAACTTGATTTAATTCATAGATCGTGTTATATTCCCCTTGAGGGTTCTATCTTTATTTTTTGTTCGATATATATTTCCCGGGAGGTTCACAGAAGCTGTCAACCAGATGCCAAGCAACTCAAAATGGAAAATAAAAAAAAAAATAAATAAATATATAAATCTTCAGCAAACAGACGAAGAATCTTATATGATTATGGAAATAAATAAAGTATTAAAG